CCCCAAAACCCCAAAACCCCAAAACCCCAAAACCCCAAAACCCCTAACAATTAGGAGGAGGCTGAAATAAATTTTTAGAATGAACTCGCTACTTTCTCAGAGCAGGATATTGAATAGCATGAATCTGGACTTTATGTGTGCACAAGAGATTAAGATATTTAGTGGGGTTGATATAAATTGTACGAGGATTAGGGGATTTTGGATTGTTTTGGGGTGAATGAGGAGGTAATTTTTCATAGTCCTGGAGGATCATTCAGATGAAGAGTTGGGTATTGGGGTGAAAGTGCCATTTGAAGCATATTATCAAGGAAGTGAGTGTAAAGAGATAGGTGAGGCAGAGGAACTTAAGATTATTAGCAAACTTGAGCTTTACTCTGTGATCATTTACACAATTCTTGTTAAGTAAGATCTTGGGATATTTTAAGGATACCCAATTTTTAGAACCTTATTAATAATTTAGAAGCTTCAGGCTTGTTCCTAATGGGTATTTCGAAGATGATCCAGTTCAAACAGTCACAAACTTGCAAGATAAGAGATCAACTTGGCTTGACCTTGATGAAGGAGTGGCTTCGTTTAGATTTGAAGTTCCTTTCAACTCCTCAGATGTAGGATTGCTATTTCTAAAAATATCAGATTTGAATCAGAAATCCTTATCAATCTATTTCCTACTATCAGGTACTTTCCCTCCTCACCCCTCACAGACGACGATGAGCTAAAAGACATTTCAATTCCTTACCTAAACCCCTCATTCTCAGACCTCCAAAAAATTTACCAGTCAATCCTATTCAAACTTAACAGAGTTCTCTACAGTGGGTATACCTCAAAATCAGGATTTTACTCCGTCTCCTTTAAGAGGTAGGGCCATTTTAGAGATTTTGTTCGTAATGTTTTAGACCAGAGTTTAATAAAGGAGAGAAATTGTGCAAGACGTGACTTGGTAAGTGAGGATTTGAGCTGTGAGGTTATTTTTGAATAGGAACAGGGAAAGTGAGGGATTGTAGGGGGAAGGAAGGTGAAGAGAGGAAGGAAAGCAAGGTTGATGGGTATATAAGACAAAGTTATGGGATTTAAATAAGCTATTCTAAATCTTTCTGTGATATTTTTGTTATAAAGCTTCCCACAAAAAATGGCTTCTATGTGTCATAGGTCAAATACTTGTTGGTCAAAATATTGCAAGAAATTTAGTTGTTTACTTTAAGGGCTTAAATTTTTTCCTCAAGAATTTGATTTAATATTCTTATCACACAAATACTTTTATGCATCTTAGATTTTATATCTCGAATCTGTTGGTAGTTGGGAGTATGTTTTGACTCTAGTAAGCGCATTTCGTATTTTGATTCAATCTTAATTTTTATAATTGGGGTTTTGGGGTTTTGGGGTTTTGGGG